TTTTATTGGCAAATCAAAAGGGTCAGTTACTTCTGGGACACCCTGTAGTAACCTGCCCACAATAAGCCTCCGCTGATACTTTTCGTGTTTCCAGTCCCGAACAGCCACTTCAGGTCAAGTCTCGATAGTAGGGCAGTCCCCAATAAGGGGTGGAGGATCAGTTATAAAAAAACAGACACGCGCTCTTCTGCTGGGTGCGCGATCAAAGTAAATCCGTTGGGCAAGATAAGAAAAGACAACAGGAGTTCTGTCAGCTAGGATGGACTAGGTACGCGTCCGTGTTCATGGTTGGTTTGTGAGAAAGGCGAGGGATTGCAGACACGCTAACGCATAAAAAACAAAGGAATCACGTAGTACGGACATCAAGGATGTAGACAGAGCCAGTAATCATGCATATACTCCTTATTCCGGAAGTCATGCATCTCCGAAGCCAAGGACGAAACTGTGTGCGCTTATGATGCACAAAATACAAAAATATCAGTGTAAGAAACGCAGGCTGGCTATATATTCCCTCACTGTCCTTAACCAAGACGACTTATTATCCAGTAAATATGCATTCAGCCAATGACTCCAACCATCTGAGTAGCGAATCGTGGAGTTCGCCGACTTCACATTCTCCGCGGTAGTAAAATCTTTGCGACGACCACCCTCCCTAACCGCAATTTGCATCACACCGTTACTAATTTCTGCTCATCTGCAACAGAGTGGCAGAGTTGTGCAATTCTGGGAAAGTAAAAATCAACGACTTCTCTTATGGTTGAGATTCAATGTTACTTATACTCTTTGTGGAGCCGCTAGCTATTTCTACGTCATAATACTCAAATGGACAAAGAAGTAGGTTTCGAAACGGATCGAGAAGGCAAAGGCCTTATCGTCGGTCACCAACAAATTTGTTTTACGTCAAATACGTTTTCGGCGACAACGGAAGTGGGACCCAACAAATACGAAATTCGGTTTGGATATGACGCCACAATTCCTGCGGTTCTGTGAACTAAAAATAAAGTTATATATTCCGATGCTTCCGGTCTATAACAGTGTAAAACATCTTCAACAACTTTACCAGTTGGACGTGGGTTCGTGTATGGATAAGGAGTTTCTGTTACCCTTAATTTTCGAATCAATTCAGTTACTCTAAATTATTGATTGTAATCTCGACGATACGTAAGTTGGTCGAGTATACGTTTAAAACCCACCCTATTATATTGGGTTGTGTCAAGATATCACAATGAATTCTTTTTGCAAGACCGCACTCAGTACAACCAGACGATTTGTCCAGTAAAGGAGGTGAGAAATAAGTCAAAGGGAGAGACAATCTTCCCCAGATTTTGACTGTTACTTTGGACATTTGCGGCCTAGAATGAAGAATTCAATTTCTTGCAGCGTGCTCAATGAAAAGTGCGGTCATACATTGGCGATGATCATGCGGTGTCGAGAAAGCCGGTCGGGTGTTGCTCAGACTGACAAATCCTGAACTTGCCGATTGTAGTGAAAATGCGAGTTCAAGGAAATAGTCCAAAAGTAGAAGATGCGATCGCTGAAACAAGAATTTTATTTGCCTGACGTTTCAGATTCTGTCGAGAATCCTTAATCATAGGTAACCGTGAGAGAATGTGAGACATACACAGACTGAAGTGATATATGCACAGACTGCGCGGCATTTCTAGGTCATAGCGACCGCTCGCTTGCGCACTATAATTATCAGCTCCTGTAGCCACCACTGGGGATCATAATTGGTGCCGTGATAGCTTGGGACTTCGCTTTTGAATCATTAATTGCCGCATTTTCGTTGTTCGTGTTGTATGCGGGCTTGATAATTGCACGACACTTATGTTCGTTGTCGTCGGAGTTGTTGCAGGGCCCGGACCTTTCCACATGACTGATTCTCCTGCCTAGACAATGTCTCATTACGGAGTATGGGAACTGCAATTGGTCGTACTTGTTGACTGACGGTGGGCCTGAGAACCATGACTCAAGCAGATCGCGGCTCACGTGGTTGTCTACTTTTGCGAGGATTTCGGCCTCATTAAACTTGAAACTATGGCCGGATCCCGTCAATAGAGCCGTAGCGTCGTAGTAGGCGTATTTCCTTCTAACCACCGTTGTGTGCTCGGTCATTCTCGTCCATAGTAATCTTCCGTTTTCTCCGAAGTAGAGTCTTTGTCCACAACTGCAGCTGTAAAGGGCTCTATCTGGTGCCTGCCATGGCAGTGGGTCTTTCAGTCTCATGACCCGACCCCTGGTGGTTGCTTCTGGCCTTTGCGCATCTCCAACTCCATGTGGGGTGAGCAGGCGGCTGACCGCTTTCGATACATTCTTCACGTATGGAGGAGCTCGCCAAACAGTTGGAGAACTCAGGTGCAACATCGCCAATCGGCCGACGCATGACGATAGCACAGGAAACGGCCCTGACTTGCTTCTATGGTCCCCTCAAAGTGCACAAAGTGGGCGCACCCCTCCGGCCAATCGTATCTAGAAGGAAATCCAACCTACGGGCTGGCAAAGTGGCTGTTTCGACGGCTCAAATACTTCAGTGCTGTTTTAGACACAACAGTCAGGTCTTCAACAGAATTCTTGGGCAAAATTAAAGGAGTAAGCCTCCTGCCATACGACGTCATGGTATCTTTCGACGTCACGTCCCTTTTTACTTCTGTTCCACAGGACCTGGCAGTCGAGACCATCCAATTAGTTTTACGAGACAAATACGATTAAAACGGATTATCGCCTCGGACACACCCAAGTCCTCCTTTTCCTAAAGTTCTGTTTTAGGACGTATTTTACCTTTAATGGAAACATCTACCAGCAGGTTAACGGTAGGCCCATAGGTTCGCCAATTTCCGGACTCATAGCCGAGGCGGGCTCGCAACTGGTTTTCCGGCACCACAGACCGAAGTTCTTGGCTCGGTATGTGGACAACACCTTCATCGTAATTGAGCAGGATCAAGTGGTTGCATTCAAGGCACGTCTAAACGCCGTCTTCCCAGACATCCAATTTACGATAAAGGAAGAAGAAAACAACGAGCTAGCCTTCCTGAATATCTTCGTTTGCCGCAAAGACAGTGGTGGCCTAAAAACTAAAGTATACAGGAAAGCAACCAAGTCCTAAAATTCAACAGCAGCCACGGGCTCAGTCACAAACACAGCTGCGTAAGAGCGCTATACTGGCGCAATAGGACGCATTGCAGTGAAGTGGAAGACAAAGTTGCGGAATTACAATATCTTCGACGGGTACTGGGAGTGAACAGTTACCCGCGCAATTTTGTCAACCAGTGCATATGCAGACGAGACAAAAAACGCATCCAATTGGCCCAAAAGTTTGGCTAGCTTGTTCATAGGTATCGGAATGTATCGGAAGCAGTCAGTCGCCATCTCATCACAAATGGAGTTGGAGTTGCGCACAGGCCAGAAGCAGCTATTACGCGCCGTGTCATGAGACTGAAAGACCCACTGCCATAGCAGGAAACAGGTGGAGTCCTTTATCGGATCCAATGTGTGTGTTGTTTGATCATCGATTTCGATAAGGTCCACCATGTGCTCAAGAGCAGGGGCGGTGATTGGAGAAAAAGACGAGATTATAGGGAAATAGACGCGTAACTGTCTACCTCATTCTAACCCTCCTCCGCTTTAATCGGTGACAAGACCGAAGTCAAGATGACCGAGCAAGAATCGGGCGGAAACCGCTTTCTCCAATGCGGCCATAACTACCGCCTAACTTAGCCTGTAGTGACAGTAGACTTTGCGCGGGTACTACTGCCCTGTCTACCCTCCCTCACCTATAGTAGGTGTCGAGCCAGGCTCTAGGAAGCCAGTGCTGGTACTGTTACTACCACTATTGCTATTTCTAATACTACTAACTAAAGTATAGCTGAGTGATAGTATTTAGTGGTACTATTATTGACTGCATTGTAAGTCAGAAGTGATCTTGATTAATTTCAGCACTAGGCTCATATCCTCTCAATCTTAGCAAGAAGGGTAGTAGTATTGGCGCTAGCACTGACGTCCCCATCTGTCAGAGTGGACGCTGATTAAGCCAACGCTAGGGCTCATACCCCCTTGATCTCAGCAAGAAGTGTTAAGCTACTTCGAGTAAGTACATGTTTGGGACCCTCAGCACAGCAGCGTTTGGCTTGGTTTCCGCATTCTCAACTCTATACATCGTGCTGTGTACGTTTCTACTAGGTTCGGACTAAGATACTGCTGCTATAGGTACGTGCCTATGCTAAAGGGGCTAATTTCTAGTAATCAC